TTAGATGGCCTAGACCAGTGGTTCTCAACCTTTCTAATGCCGCGACCCCCAACCGGTTATAAGTCGAGGACTAAGCCGGTCGTAAGTCGAGGACTAAGCCGGTCGTAAGTCGAGGACTTTCCCTGCCCGGGAGCGCCGTGCATGCGTGGTGCTGCCCCCTGTGCCGGCTGAGGCGTAGCTGGCAAACGGCAGAGATGAAGCAGGCCGACCACTGGCTGGGCCACCAGCTGGCCCAGCCCAAGGGAGGTAAGGCACCCGCCGGAAAATGGCGGACAGCTTTGCTTGGTGAGCCCCGTGAAATGGTCAATCGACCCCAAATGGTGTCCCGACCCACAGGTTGAGAACCGCTGGACTAGACCAAGGGTTCCCAACCTGGGGTTCCCGCACCCCCCAGGGGTGCTAAACAATATTCCAGGGGGTGCAAAAACTTGAGGTTTCAAAATTACAGTATATATGCATAATTTGTTGCTGTTATTTTGAACTTTTGTAAGGGGGGGGAGAATATATAGCGTTCTTGGGATGTGGGGCATAGAAAAGATTGGGAGCCGCTGGTCTAGACAATGGTATTTGATCTTTTTAACATATATACTTTATTGTGCTTACTAATCTAGGTGAAATGTTAATATGTACTGCTAGTCCATGCACGATACGCCATGCACTAAATAAATAAATAAATATTCCCAAGAGGCTGGGATGTTGTAATGTATCTATGTAGTATATGTATGTATCCAAGCAGGATGGCCTTTTGCAGCTGACAGATGGAAATTTTGTCAATGTGCAGACTTTCTAAGTGCCATCCAAGATTTTTTTGGGGTATGGCATCCATTCTGCCAATAACCACTGGGACCATCGCAGCAGGTGCATGTCAAAATCTTTTGACTCTGATTTTCAGATCTTGATACTTTGTGGCCTTCTCCGGGTCTTTTGTCTTCTATTCTACTGTCCCCTGGAATTGCCATTTTAGTTATGCCCACCTTCAATTAATTTATCTAATTACAGTCTCCTTTTTCAGGATTCAGTAACATCCCAGGACTTTGCCCAACAATATAAAAGCAGCCATAAAACGTACACACTAACCCTTCATTCTATGAAAAACAAGGAATCAGAAAAAGCTGTGATTCATTTGAGAGCCAACTTGAGAAATTGAATCTGCAGATAAGTCAGTTGTTTATCCAGTAAACTAATATGTTCTGTGTCGGCAAATGCCCTTGTATAGGACACATTAGATGGGCACAAACGAAGATGAAAAGAAATAACTATAAGTGGCCTATTCAGAATTGAAGTTAAGGAAAGCTGTAAAGCAAAATAATAAACTTCATTGTCTCCAGCTTTTCAGTATACTCTGCTTACAAAAATTGAAGTAACTTATTTATTTTTTTTATTCGTTCCCGTAAAACTGTTGAGAAATATAGTTCATGTCTGAGTTTTGTACCAACATCTATCAAACATGTCAATGAACCAAGAATGGATTTGACCTTTCTCTCTACCACAATGTCTATACTTTTGTTTCCTTGTCAGCATTTCCTCTTTTATATTTTGCTCATCTTCTTAGCTTTGCTCACTAAGTCATAATACATTTCAAGGTTAAGATTCAGCCGTAGCATACATGATATCTCTTTGAATTGTTGAAAGATGCCAGTGATATGTTCTGGAGTAAAAATTGTGAGAAGTCTTTGGGTCATTTTGGGGCATAGATTGAGTTTTGATAATCAGACCCATGAATATTTAACTCTGGGGAAATTCTACTTTAAAGAATAGATATTTTCTGGGGAAATATAACCGGAAGCCAGAATAGTGACTTTAAACCAGTGTACAATACGTAATGATGAATGGTTATTTTAAGATTTGTTTTCCCAACTTTAAACAGAATTTGGTCTTCCTGATTCACAACATACACCATACAGCAACAAACAGAGAGGTGCTGAATTGTATAAAACCAGAAAGATCACTAGAAGCCAAAGACTACATCTGATTCATTGGAGAAGACCATGATGATAGGAATGGCTAGTGGAACAAGAAGAAAGGGCAAGCAGAAAACACGCACACATAAAAAACTGATGCAAAATTGAACATCCAACAATTGAAAGAAGCTGTGCCTGACAGAGTCACCAAGAGTTGTACATCTCAGAATGGTTAAAACTAACTAACTAATTCAAAACCGTTCAGATATTTTCAACAAGCACAGAAGCATTAATCAATATAAGTGTTAAGACCCAGATGCCTTGGCTACTTCAAAGGCACTTGAGTTAAACCCACAACAAAGATGTGTTGTGTGTTTAACTTCTATCACGGTTTCCATCAAATAAAAGAGAGATACTCTTTGATTTAATGGAATCCATAACAGAAGTTAAACCTACAACATAACTTTATCAAAAGCTTAAGAACATTTTTGAAGTCAGTACCCCAGGAATATATCGTACAGAACCCAAAGAATTGGAATCTCCTATTATGCTGCTTCCATGGCTGCTTGTTCTCAAAAACATTAATTTTGAATTGATGATTTTGAAATTAACATTGATTAATCAAACAGATTGCATTTGAAAAGCGGTTGAAAGGATGGGCAACAGATTTTCTCTGCTGGAGATAAAAAAAAACATTGAGGATGCATGGACCTATTTGATATGGTCTTGTTAATTTTTGAAACTTCTCTGGAATAGTATTTCAGTGCATATAAGTGTATTTATGTAGGTATATTTATATGTTCAAGATGTTAACATGATGCTGTTACTGATGTTAATGGGGTTGTTGTTTATCCTGGGGTGCCCAGGATTATATATTATAAGGTTTTCTATGTTTTAATCCTTGTAAACTGCCAAAAGTCTTTTGTATGAGATGAGCAGTTATATAAATCAAATAAAAATAAAGTTGAATTCTGTACCTCAGTTCTGTAAAGCTGCGAGGAATTATGATGATGCTGTCCTTCTGGGTGGCAAATAAATTTGAGAAATTAGAAAAGTGGCATTATTTCAGAATTTACAGAGTAGCTTTTGGAAACGTGTATTTTATCTGCCCTAAAAAAGGCACTATTTTTTTTTTACTAATCAAAGAATGAATCAATATTCTTTGGCACAACACCTGATTGTAATATGGCACTGTATGGTACATTTTTTGTAAATCAGTGATTATCTATATATTTAATACAAAAAAAATAGACCTTTTCTCTTTATTTCTAGCATTATCACTTTTAATTTTGGCATGATTTAATCTAATTTTGTTCTTGCTGCGGTGTCTTGGCAGTCTGCTTAGGTTTGCAATCTTTTAAAATAGCATTGAAAAAATGGTCCACTGTGGGGCCTAAGATGTCAACCATCAGGTGGGATGGAAAAGAAGTTGATTCTTCCGTTGTTCGTCCACATCAGATAGCTATTGCTATCATCTGATGTTCAGAAAAATGCTGCCGCTGTGAGAAAACCGTCTTGAGTTGTTGGGCATAGTTGGACATTTTAAAAGTCAACTGTAGAGCAACCCCTCAAAACTGCTGCTCCGCTGTGGAGAAAATGGCTGCTATTTTGAGCACGGCCAGTCATAAATGCCTCTTTCTCCTGGAAAGCAAATTGAGGAGGTTCATCTCCGGCACACTGTCTGGCTGGCTATGCTGTTCCTCACGACTTATTTCTGAGCCCTGCGGTGTAAATGGAAAAAAAAAAATACTGCATCCAAAAAACAAGAAAGAGCTGATGTGGCAGGGAGACTGTCAAGAACAAAAGGAAACACAGGTTGTTCTGCAGTTGCCTCATTGCCACCAGCAGTGACTGATAGCTTCATTTTTCTTAAATGTACCAAATCTGCATACAAAGCCATATATATTGTTGGTTATTGCCACGTGTGATGTCAGAGGTCCTAAAAATGATAGGTGAATGATGCTGTATAGCAGGGGTGGGGAACTGTGGCCCTTTTACGATCTTTGAACTTCAACTCCCAGAATTCCTGAGCCAATTGGCTCAGGAATTCTGGGAGTTGAAGTTCACAGATCGTAAAAGAGCCACAGTTCCCCACCCCTGCTATATAGGAAGAAGACCATCCTCCCTTTCCTCCTTCAATCTACCATAGGGGGGGGCTGCTGTCCTAGATAAACAAATAAATAAAATAATCCAAAACCACTTGTGAAAATAAATCAAAGGTCCCTGATAATGACATGAGTGTTTCTTATATATTAGCAGTAGTAGACAATTGGGCCCCCCTCACCCCCTCCTTGAAGCTGAGTTGCTCACAATTCTCACACTCATTCTGGAGTGGAACTGATTTGATAATCCTGGATGAAACCTACTTTCTACTCACTTCACACGTTATAAAGCATTAAGCTTTTAAAGAACCGAATCCTATTTTCCTCCAAGTCCATCAGCATGCGATTGAAAGTTTGCAAGGATCTTTTCCTTTTTAACACGCTGTATGGAACATCCAATAATGTTAAATCTGAGCCTTCCCCCACACCACGCACCGTGTGTAAATTTCTTTTGTCTATTGTTGTTTGTTGACAGGGCATATTTTAATTGCAAACACCCCACCATTATTAAGACCGCCATTACGAAAAACACACACTTTTAACTTCAAATGTCCATGAATTATTAAGACCAGGGTTACCAACCAAAATATGTCAACACATATAAAAGCCTGGCCGCTTGATTGTATCCTAAAATAGAAACAGAAAGAGTATCTAAGTTTTTTTTTTTTTTAATTCCCTGGGATAGAAGTAGAAAGTGGGCACTTATTATTTTAAAAAAAACACACACACAAGTGGCACTGTGTGATCTTTCTGCCTATAATATCTCATGTCTGACCTGCCAGCTCAATTTTTCTCTCCGTTTACCTCTGAAGGATGCCAACCGCGGGCAGCTGTCTTTGGGAAAAAAAAAAAAAAAAAAAAACGGGCGTGGCTCCCGGCTCCGCCCGGGCCAATCAGGCACCATCCCAAGAAGATTGATGAGGGGTTGCTAGGAGACAGCATCCTCTCCCTTTACAAGAGAGCAGAGAGGGAATTTGCTCTCGCCGGACAGCAAGTTCAACAGCTGGAGTGCCGGCTCGCCAGTGGGCAGCGCGGGCGGGCTGGGGGTGTGCACGCGTGGCTGTGCAAAGCAGCCCCAGCAGGCCAAGGAAAGGGTCCGTCTCTTTCCCCCCCTCCCCTCCAAGTCCTGGGGGGGGGCCTCCCAAGTTCTCCAAAGAGCCCTCCCGCTTCCCTTTCCCCCTTCCCCAAATGGCCCCGGAGACCTGGAGGAGGAGAGCCTTTTGCGTAAATGCGCAGCAGCAGCAGCAGAGCGCATCCTCGGAGAGAAGCTAAACTTCTCCTGCCGGGCGAGCCGGGACGGAAGGCCAGCTGCTGCCCCGGCCACTCCTGCCTGACAGCCGCGCCCGGCCCCCCTCGGGGGCCCTGGATGAGCTGCGCCCCGGAGCCCGGCCAGGAGGAGGTGAAGAAGAGGCCGAGGACGGGGGGACCCTGCCCAGCGCCCCCTCCCCAGCGCCGGCTGCCTGCCTGGCTGGGCGTCCGAGGAGAGGCAGGGAGAGGCGGACGGGAGGATGACGGAGGTGGGGACGCCCGCCGGGAGCTCAGCAGCAGCAGCAGCAGCGGCGACGGCAGCAGCAGCAGCAGCAGGTCCGGCCAGGCACGGTAAGCAGACCCCCTTCTCCTCTCCTCCGCCCAGCCTCCCGCTTTCCAGGCGGCCCGGAGGGGGGGGGAGGTTTCCCCGGGAGGGACGGAAAGGCTTTGGACCGGCTCGATCTGACCCGGGTTAGGCGCGGGAAGTCCCGGGCTGAGCAACGGACACCTGTCTCCCGGCTGGCCGAGCCGGGCGCTGCTGCTGCGGCTTTAGGAATTTAAGCCCCGGGAGGCTGGCAGAAGATCTTCAGCCTCGTCTCGTTTCTTATTCGGGGCTCTTGGTTTCTATTCCCGCGTTCCGTGCCGTCTCCTCCTTTGGAGAAATAAACCCCAGCAAATAAGTCTTATTACGTAATATGTGGGTTTTTTCTTTCTTTTCTTTCTCTCTGTTGTGCCCCCCCCCCCGCCACGTTTTCTGATCTAGTAGCAGTGTGTTATTTTACCTAAGATCCCATGCAGGTTGCTATTAAACGCTTATGTTCTGCTGGTCTTGTATTCAATCTATTAGTCCTCTTTCAGAGGCTTATTCAGTCTAGATTCTTTGCACTTGGAGAAAGAAGTCCTAGATCAAAGAAATATTTGTATTTTATTTTGTGGAGATATTCTTTCAAAGTCTTGTTGTGGATTCAAGAACTCTTATTGTTTTGGCCAGCTCCTGTAGTGCCAGGACTGTATTCGTGCCTATGATAATCTCCTGTAAATTAGTCTTCTTGATTACACACGCTCTCTTGTAGACGGTTTGGAAGAAATATATGGGGAGCCAAGTAAGTATGAAATAGCCTTTCAAGTCGTACGCTGGATCAAGTAACTCTGTCTTGTTTTTGGCTAAACTCACCTGCGAATTAATTCCATTTGGGTGGTTATTATGCTTAGGATTTCTCTGCTAGGAAGTGTCCAAAGTTTTTGTGTGGCAGTTGGCAGGTGGAGTAGATTTAGCACAAAGCATCTCTAGAGAGCAGGTATTCTGCAGTGGAAGTAGTGAGGCAGGAGGAAGCAACGGGAGGGAAGAGAGAGAAGCAGGGGCTGGAAAATTACATGTATAAACAGTGTTTTGGCAGAAAATACGTGCCAAGGTTAGTGGAAATAATGGGGTGATTTGGCTTTTTCATGGCGAGATGATAGATAGATAGATAGATAGATAGATAGATAGATAGATAGATAGATAGATAGATAGATAGATAGGAGAGAGAGGGAGAGGGGGAGATGGAGAGAGAGATTTGAAAGGGCTATCATTAATAGTGTAGAGTGGGTTTTTTTATATAAAAATGTTCATCCTCATGGTTTGCTATGGGCAGAATAACATTACAGCGTATCAAACCCTGATATTATGATTAAATAATTTATTTATTTAATTATTTCTTGACGCTTCCTTTATTATACGATAGAGGCACTTCTTCTTAATCAAGTTGACATTTGAGAAGGCCTGTTGTAGATGACCCTTGGATCTTTCTTCCCATCAGAAGGGCAGGCATGGCAGAACATCCTAACCGATTGCACCATTAGATCTGGTATCTTCAGTCTTTCCAAAATGACTCTCCTTGCACAGGGGGATAAACCGGGGAGTCCCGTTTGATCTCTGCTTCCCACGATGATTTCAAATCAACCAATATTCCAGTTGCAACTCACACCGCACGTTCTCAGTTACAGTTCTGCTCCCAGCGGATTTCGAATTATTTATGTATTGTCTGGTGTCCACAAAGCCATGAGCCTTTGAACTTGACTTGGAGGACATTCCCTCTGTTTTTATCACACAACAGCTTGTATCACTGTTGAATACACGTGCCTATTCTGTTTGATGTTCATGGCTGTATAGAAAAGGGTTGCTTGCCTTTTCAGGAATGGCAAAAAAAAAAAAAAATGCCATTCCTGTATGCTTATTTAGGACTTTGGGAATATGACATTGTGTGCCATTTTTTTTTTCCTCTAGAAGGTGACATGCATTATGTGGATTTGTTTTTTGGTTTTTTTTTTACAAAATCATCTCAAATGATGGATATCATTGTTTGGAAAAGGAGCTTTTAGCTTCAAGACGTATCTCGAGAAAGCAGCTATAGTTTTTGTTTCCTCATTTTTAACAGGTGTGATCAGCTGAAGTGGGGTGGGCGTGGGTGCACAAGGTTTATTTTTTTAAAGTATCTTCCTTCTCCGAAAGGAGATTCAATGAGCCTGAATGGGACAGCACCTTAGCACGAATTTACACACATATAAATATATTTCCCTCCTGGTTATATGTCCGTGCTAGCTCTTCACTGAATGTAGGAGTTGCCTAATCAAATACCTTGCCCCAGAACAATAGCAAGCAATTCTGAGCCCACTGCTCTCTCTTCCAAATAATGGAATGCAGATTTCAGCCCATACCATCAAAATAAAACCATGCTATTTTAGGAAAGCCAAAAAGTTTATAAACAGTTGCTGCTTTTTCTCAAAAAGGTGTTTCCAATAAGTAAAACCACCTTTTACTTACGGAGCAGATTAGAAAATATGTATTTTAAAGATTTTTGTTTAACTGATTGGTGAGCAGCACCATAAAATTGTTCATGCATATAATGGAATTCTTCAACTTTTTATAGCCCTTTATTAAAATACTTTCTAACATCCAGGAATTATATGCATGGCTTTAAGGTCAACTGTTATAGAGAGAGGTAAACTGTTGTCCCCTTCCAATCCTGTTAAATGGAGACTAATATAAATAGAAATAAGTATGAACAAGAAATCGAAAGTTATAGCATGATATGTATTTGCCTGCCCTTGGTTAATCTGTAAAATGTTCTTAGTTCTCGAATGAAAGATCCACCTGGATACCTCCAGGTAAATTGGGAGACAATAATAGAATAGCAGAGTTGGAAGGGACTTTTGAGGTCAGCTAGTCCAACCCCCTGCTCAAGCTATACCATTTCAGACAAATGGCTGTCCAATCTCTTCTTAAAAACCTCCAGTGATGGAACATTCACAACTTCTGGAGGCAAGTTGTTCCATTAATTAATTGTTCTAACCAGGGCTTTTTTTCTCATAGAATGCCCAGAACGGAGTTCCGGCACCTTTTTGGGATGGAACCTTATAGGGTAGGCAAGGCAGGTTGTATGACGTGTGTGAGTTCTGGCACCTTTTTTTTTTTTTAGAAAAAAAAGCACTGGTTCTAATTATCAGGAAATTTCTCCTTAGTTCTAGGTTGCGTCTCTCCTTGATTAGCTTCCATCCATTGCTTCTTGTCCTGCTTTCAGGTGCTTTGGAGAATAGCTTGACTCCCTCTTCTTTGTGGCAGCCCCTGAGATATTGGAACACTGCTATCATGTCACCCCTCATCCTTCTCTTCGTTAAACTAGACATACTCACTTTCTGTAACGGTTCTTAATACGCTTTAGTCTCCAGTCCCCTAATAATTTTTGTTGCTCTTCTCTGCACTTTTTCTAGAGCAGTAGTTCTCAACCTGTGGGTCGGGATTCCATTTGGAGTCAAACGACCATTTCACAGGGGTCGCCAAACAACGCAGTCCGCCATTTTTTTCCCCTTTTCCTTAGCTGTGCTACTCCCTTTTATTCTATGGGCTTTTGAAAGCCAATAGAATAGACTCTCTTGAATAGAGTCTAATTCTATTGGCTTTCAAAAGCCAATAGGAATTGTCCAGGCTGTCTCTGCCCTGCTGAGCCCGCCAAAAGTCCCATTCTGCAAACGGTGCTGCACCAGTTGAGTAGTCCTCAACTTACGACCAGTTGAGTAGTCCTCGACTTACGTCTGGTTGGGGGTCGCAGCATTAAAAAGGTTGAGAACCACTGTTCTAGAGTATCAACATCTAAAAAGAAGAAGAAAGCAAAGACAAAGTACTTCTAAGAAAACTGTATAGCTTGAATAGCTTGAAGATTTGTCCCAAAGATGCATGTATAGCTTGAAGATTTGTCCCAAAGGTGCTTTTTCACGAGGCAAATGGACTTCCTTGTTTTTCTTTGAAGACATTTCACTTCTCATCCAAGTAGCTTCTTCAGTTCTGACTGAATGGTGGAGATTCCTCACCATTCAATCAGAACTGAAGAAACTTCTGTGATGAGAAGTGAAATCTCTTCAAAGAAAAACACAGTAAGTCCAGTTTACTCTTGAAAAAGCATCTTTGGGACAACCATGACCTGGATGACTGAAAATCTCCATATAGACACTTGAAGATTTGCTTTTTAAAGTCTTTTGGAAAGTTTTGCTACTTAGTAGAAACAATGCCTAGAATTGCCTACTTAAGTATAGGAAACAAAGCAAAAAAAATTTGAGTTAAAATACATTTATGGTTGGAGAAAATGACTAAAAAAGAAACAGACTTTAAACCAGAATTGTTTTTGTTAGGAAAAATAGGAGCTAATGATGAGAAAGATTGCAGATATCTAACACTACACATTTTAACAGCAGCAAGAATTGTATTTGCCCAATATTGGAAAAAATGAAAATTTACCAGCTGAAGAAGTACTAATCAAGAAAATTCTAGAGTGTGCAGAAATGGATAGATTGACTTTAAAGATAAAATAGAAAGAAGACTCGATGTATTTTAGAACATGGGATCATTTCTATCAATGGCTAGAAAAACGAGTCAGAGAGAAAGGAATGTGAAATGTAATTTTGAATATATATACTAGTAAGAAGAAGGCTATTGAGTGATGAATTAACATATTGTTTATGGTAATTAACTATATTATTGTTAGTTAAATACATGTACCCAGACATTATGCTGTTTGCTAAATATTGAAAATGTTATTTGGAAAAACCCCAACCCCAACCCTAACTCTAATCCTAATCCTGACCCCACCTTATCCCTACCCCTATAAAAACTAATAAAATCTATACAAAAAAAAGTATAGGAAACAGACCAGGTATTTTGAATGTGGTGCTTCTTAGCAAGCATAGGCCCCACATTGGCACCTGAAATGAAAGGAATGTTCTCTCTAGAGCACAGGTGTCAAACTCAACCGCGTCATGTGACGTATCGTGACATTTTCACCTTTGTGGAGCCGGGATGGGCGTGGCCTGCTCGTGAC